ATCAGTGGAACAGACGGACACACACACACATACACACACACATACAGACACAACTAACTGCAAAGACTCCCTTTTTGTGCTTCGCACACGGGAGTCAAAAAACCACTACAAATTATTACCAGTACTATCAATAATTTTGTTTCTTTTTGGTACAAGGTAATTTCTAATAGACAATAAACATGGCAGAATTTTATGATACCAAGATAATAATATCCTGGAATGATATAATAATAATAATAATATTATAATAATAATAATAATAATAATAATATCCTGGAATGACAGTGTTTGGGGTTTATTAGTCTGAGAGTGATAATGACTTTCTTAAAATTTATTCTTCTTAAAATTAGTATGTAATCACAGCAAAGTAATGAACTTACAGTTCTGTCTTGTGAAGCTGATGCTAATAAGTTTTGTTTTCTCACAATTGCCCACACCGCACCCTCATGGCCAAACAATGTACGAACACAAGATCCTTTCCGCAGATTCCAAACTTTTATTGTACAGTCATATGAACCACTGATCAGAAGATTGCGTGTGAAAAATCGCAGACACCAGACACCTTTCTGGAAGATCAACAAAGATGAGATTAAGTTAATTTTATTGATGAGCCAATGTGAATCGGCGCCGGAGATTGGATGGTACGAAGACCCTTCAATTTGCATCAAATATGCTTTGTTACAACATCATTGGCTGAGAGTCACCTGATCGGAGCATGACCTGGGTCACAGAACCATATTTGTCCGTATTATCAACAGGACTTTACGAAAGAACCACACCCACATTTTCAACCATTTTTAGCATGGAAGTTGCCAACAAATGTCGGAAAACTCATGAATTTTATGGATTTGAATAAAATAAAGCTAGCGATTGGTAAGAATGGTTATTAATATATCCCCCGATGGATTTTTATTTTTTTTAGATTTCAAGGTAAGAAATGGATAGTTGAAGTTGCATCAATTTCAAGGTGGCTGTTTCACCATGACAACTCTAGCTCTGTTGTAGTTTTGCGATGTAAAATAAAAAAAAAAAACATAATAAATAGTACTTGTTTAATTATTTGGGTATACAGCCCACAAATTACGGGACATGATCCCCATGCCTCGGCTGATTGTGTTGATTGACGGACGTCAGGACCATATGGAGAAACCAACAGGGATCGATATTCCAAACAAATTATTGAGCCACGGTCGGTAGACATTCCAAACAAACGAAATTATTAACCAAAGACGAGATTTTTCTAGATATTTACAAACATACTGTCATACCAAATATATGCAAAATTGATAAATGCACAAAGAGGTGCATTAGGTTTTATTTTAGGCTTAGAAATATTTTCTTTCACTCCATGCTTCATGGTCCTTTGGCTTGTCTTCTCCTTAGGGGAAAACAACAATAATTATACAAATCGTAAACACAAAAAGGAAACCCAGACAACCATGTCGTACTTCTGTTGAAATACATTTTGTAGCAGTGCGTCATGTCGGAATATTGTTTAAAATAAAATACTCAATCCCAGCCAAATCTAGGTCAAAGGGTCAGATTGTGTGCATATAATTATAGATAGTTGAAACAAAAAGTTCAACATCTATGAACACCAGAAAGACAATTATAAGTCAATGTGAACCACCAAAATTTTTTAGTAGTCCCATGGTAGTCTGAATTTTAAATGAGAGCGAACAATCAAGTGGGCGGTGTTATTTCTGGGTTTGCGCAGTCGAAAATAAAACGGAAATTGTCTGGTCAAATTCAACAAGCGGTTGCAAAAGCAGCGAAAAAAAAAAACGATTGAAAAGAGGTAGTGGGTGGGAGGTTGGGTGCATGAGTACTGTACTTCTTTGTTCGATGAAGCGATGCTGATGCCACATTGTCGCCATAATGAGGCCACAATGATGCGATGCTGAAGCGAAGCTAATGCTGAAGTGTAGCCAAAGCATTCACGATAATTGTACTGTAACATCAAACATGCCGAAAACCAAAACGTTGAGAACAGATTTAGCGAACTTCTTTGTGTGTGGTCCGGTCAATCCCTGAGGGAAGTCATGTTTGTTTTTTATTATTAGAGGATGCTTATGCGCGTAATCGTTTCATATTTGGAATTCACGTTTCCTAATATGGTAGGATGAAAATACCTAGTGCAATACCGCAAAATTACGGCACACTGTAACTTATGGCATTACGGTGACAGATGTATAATAATTTATATCCTTATGTTACCATAGTAATTAATTTGTTAGCTATTTAAAATTTCACAAGAAGAAACCTACCGAATGACCTTTCAGTGTTTGTATTAAGTTTCCACTTTTGGCATCCCATATTTTGATTGTTGTATCCTTACTTCCACTTGCCATCCTTCTACCATCAAAGGTTATAGACAAGACTCTGAAAATAATCAACATATATTAAAAAACTTTTACATCCATCATGAACTTTACCATTGCAAAAATATTTAAAATTGTCACTCCAATTAATGTTCCATGTTCACTGGTTCACTGCCAGGAATATTAATTCCCAGTCTCCCCAGGAATGTTCCTGACTTTATAACTTCAGAGCCTAAATTCCAAGAAAGTGGTTCATATTTCAGCTTAAACAACCCAAGTGAAATGTTCCCTAACTCAAAAGCAAATCTCACAAGAA